TTGGTGCAATTGGTGCAAGTGCTCCACCTAACACTGGCCTCCACCCCACCCCCTCCCTTTTCTAATTGTTCTAAATCAGTCAGTGCTATAGATCTGCATATATAGTATCATAAAAGCTTAGTACCATCCTTGCGATCCGTCACCCGCTGGCTGCGCCACTGAAAAGACAGACGAGGAGGATGGGTTATGCTCGTCGCACCGCTTGTGGTAGTTGCTGCTTAGAGCTAGCAAAATCTTTGCACGAAAGTTATTTTTGTCACTGTAGAGAAATGTAGACATCGTTCTTCCGCACAAGAAGAAAGTTGCATGAAACTGCTCTTCGCAGCACCAATTTGGTGCAAGCTAAAAATTTGATCCAAGTTTCCGCGAGCCTATCTACTACACTAGTAAAGTATACAGTAACTCAAAGAAGAATGGGTGTCGAAACTGTTGTCTCCCTCTATTGTGTAGCAAGTCTTGTTAAGGTAAATTTTCACATTTTGATTGAGTCTGGTTGTTGGTGCTGCACGAATTAATTAGAAATCTTTAAATCTTTTCAGGCTGCGAGCATAGTGAGTTGTTAGTATTGTTTCACTTTATTGCAGCTTTTATGCGGTTTCATCTAGAAACAGTTGTAAAGATCGATACATGTAGATTACAGGATATCGTGAAGATTCTAATTGACTTTCTCTAGAAATCTCAATAGTAGCTACTAAGTCTATAGCCCATTTGCTATCTCTCCAATTATGCACCACCTTGTCTGCAACCCACGTGACGCCACTGGTATGTATGTATGTATGATACTATAAATCTCTGTAACGCAGAAAATGGTTTTGACGTGTTCCGAAAATTAAAAAAAGAATAAAATCAAATCATATATCAAATTTATCAAAACTCAGTTACTGAACAAATAAAACTTTGTAATTTTAGGTTTATGTTGCACCTTGACACCCAAGTCTTTATTCTGATTCAGCAGAGAAGGCACACCATTTATTTTTTTGATCCTACTCGTGAACCAAATGAGAGGCTAGGAGAGAAAAGTTCTGCGTGCACTTGACCAAAGCAAGACAGGCGTTTTGCCCTATATTTGCTCGTCAATGGTGCGCACGAACCAGTGCAGAGAAGATTTTTTGGTGACCATTCCGTGGAACGCCAACAATTATTTCACTATAATCTCCTTACTTGTTCGTTCAATTCATCCGTTCCTTTCATAACGTTTTAAGCTTACCACTTTCTTTTCCAAGGAGATGTACAGTCTTGCAGCATGCTGCTGTGCATAGAATACTCAGCCTCTACCATTAATATTTTCAAATTACCAAAGAGCAAACTGGGTGAAACGTTATAAAGTATACTTTGTCTTGTAATGATATTAAGGCTGATTATTTATATGGTGCCCACTCCTGTAAAATACAGTTTTAGGCTTTTTACATTACTTTCATCTCAACACAAATCACAGGCATGTGAAGGTGCATACATGGTTAGTGTGTTCTTTAGATTAATGCTAATACATAAGTTAGCATTTATATCATGACTAGACAATCGATCCTGATGTGCACAATGTAGCCTACCTCAATAAGAACAAGTTAGATTTGAATTATTTTTAAAATGATTAATGTGAGAAAGGAATGAAACTCACAATTATTTTTTGTGCTGCAATTTGAACGCTGGGTCGCTCGAATGAAGAATATCCATCAGACATTTTATGAGAAGATTGAAGCCGAAAAACACAGCACAACAAACTACTCAGTGGCTATTAACGCGGTCATACAGGTCGGAGACAACACATAAACATTAGGAAAGATCCATTTGTGGGGTTTATTTATTGCAATATAAATGTATTCAGTCTACGCCTACTTAATGAATACAGTCAATGGCCAGGGGTTAGATGACATAAAAAGGTATTACTATGATGTATTAGTGTGTGTTTTGTAACACAAAGACAGAAGGAGCGAGAGGTGCAATGGAGAGATATAGAAAGAAAGAGAGAGAGAGAGAAAAAAAAAGAGAGAGAGAGAGAGAGAGAGAGAGAGAGAGAGAGAGAGAGAGAGAGAGAGAGAGAGAGAGAGAGAGAGAGAGAGAGAGAGAAAATGAGAGGATGGGGGATCGTAAGAGAGATAGAAAGAGATAGATAGATACACAGCGAGAAGGAGGGAAACACGGGAAGAATGAGAGAGAGGGAAAGAAGGAGAGAGAGATTGAAAGGGACAGACAGACAGAGAAAGAGAAGGAAAGAGTACGAGTCCTAAAGAATAATCAATAAAAATATATAGCAAAGTTACCAAAGTAGCAAAAGATTCCAGTTGTACCGAAGTCTGTTTCGCCTTGGATAATATACTTCTTGCTTAGTTTGTACTTCACAGATCAGTCTATTGTAAGTGTGATCAACCGTAGACTAATTGTTCTTCTTCTTCTCCAGTCGTCGTTTCTGTAGCAGACATTAACGATCGTGGTACCCGATTCCTTCCTGTTGTCTGACTTCTTGATCAGCTCCGTTTTTCTCTGTGTTATGAGTTGCAAAGTAGTTCTGGCCATCTGTGTATGCTGTGTGTTTGTCTTCCTCTGCTCTTCTTCCCCTGTGTCTTTCCATACAGCAGCAATTTCTCTAACGTATTTGATCTATTTATGTGACAAAAAGAATCTCAATTGTCTTTTTCTTCTGGTTTTGGTTAAGGATCTTTCATATCCCGCCATTTGGAGCACTTTTCTATTTGTTTTTCAGACATATTATTATAAAATCCTAAACCGTCCACCAAAGCTTAGCTCCTATACTATATGGAAAGTGAACAACAAGACATGATTTGAGCGATATGAAGGGCAAAGGAGAAAAAAGTTTTTGCACGATTTCAGCTACTATATTGTAATAATATAGCAAAAATGGTGATACTGACAGTGTCTTTCACAAGGGTGTCATAGCGCGACTCACGAGGCGCACGCAAAGCAGAGACGTTTTTATAAGGAGCAAAGAGCGTTGGCCATGGCAGTGGCAGTGTGCAATCAAGGAGTATAAGTCTTTATCTCCAGCTTTGACTTGGCATAATGAACGTTAAGGAAAACAGTTTGTACAGTGATTTTGTAAGTCCAAAAATACATCAACCAGTTAGTCGACAGTGAGTTTTTTGAACGTCCCTGCCATTTTATCCCCGCCAACTACTCCGCCAGCCCCTCCTCCTGACCCCGCCCCCACAACCATGTCGACCAGTCCATACTTGTTGTCGTCTTCAAACTCCTTGTCGCATGTCTTGATGACGTTGCACCATTCCTGCGAAGAGGCAAACGCAGATTGAGTGATGAGGATAAAGAGAACAATGTGTCACGATGCGGTGGAATCAGGCGCTCGTCAATAATGTTTGGGCATGTGGACTTGTTGGTATCATCTGAAAGCTTATTCATAGGCCTTGCTTTGATAGAAAAAAAACTCCATTTATCTAGACTAGAATTAGACGTATTTGTGTTTGAAGGAGATAGGGTCACCTTGTTTCAGTTGAAAAATGTTGGTAATGCAATATCTTGAGAGTCTTTGAAAACTGAAAAATTACATATTTTTTGCCTTTAATAAATGTTTTTCAATAAAATGTATATGGAAATGTGTTTTTATATGAACATATAAGGTGAGGAGCCAAAAGACAAAAATTTCGTAAAAATTGCCAGACTGGAAGAAAAATGCCTGTGTCTTTGATTTTATAATTTTGACTAACCCCTGGTTTCACAACGATGCCTCACAAATTATGATCATTGCATCATGAAATACGAAAAGATAGTTTATATCAGCCATTGTTTACTTTGTTGAAAAGAAATCAGTCACAGTCAAAATACAGGGTGATCCCCAAAAAAATTTAACAGCTTTTTTCTGAATATCTCGCACAAAAGTTGTTCTAGAATGCTGTAATTTAAAACAAACATAATTCATTCAAAAGGATTTTGTTTTGATATTAACTCAACGAAGAAAAAACACGTTTTGAAAAAGGAAACGGCTAAAAGAAAAAAGTACCCAAAAACGCAAAGTTCACCACTGTTTAAACATCTTGTAAAAGAAGTCGTGAAGAAATTAGTTATCGTTTTTCGTTTTGTTCTCTTTTACATTAATTTTCTATCCCTGTGACATTTAAACAATATTTATTTCCTTTTACAGAGTTTTAAAAATCTAATGATTTCATTCTGAAATTCCTAGAAGCAGTGCTCCACATTCCCTCCTTTGGACTCTACACATTTTTAACACGTCGTTCAAAATGTTCAGTGGCGCCCTAACACAAGGACCTGCTAAACCATGAGCTTTTAAAGCCACATACACTGTATATGTTCACTAAGAAGTGACTTTTAGAGACAATAGGGTGGGATGCCCATTAGAGAGCATTTTTGAAGTCAACATATCCCCGCAGGGTGAAATTGGGCTTTGCACTAAACCAAATGTCCTCGAGGAAATGATCCCTCTTTACAAGAGAAACGAGGAATCATGAACAGATTGCCATGCTCTGATTCGTGTCATCTCGGCCTAGCGGAGATTAACATGGTATAGACGTAGAATAAGATCTGCCATGAGAATGCAGACTGTTGATGTGTAGGAAAGTCCTAGCTACAGATCGTCTACTGACAGACGTCTCATGGGACTCGGCTACTGAAATCTGCACTCTGGTGACGTTTAAAGGGCTGCACAGGGTGAGTGTTCGATTTAAAGTGGTCATTTTTTAAAAGAACATTATAGTTCTGATTTGCAATAGATCCAAACTGACGGAACGTCTCTACTCATGACGCCAAAGGTCTTGAGGGCACCTAAGCATTCTCGCCATGCCGTGCGCAGAACTTACGAAATGTCAAGGATGGTGAGTTTGTGGAAAGGTAATGTTCAATACAAAAAGCTCTCTGCTCTTTACTAAACGTAGCCATGATCTCAGCAGGCAAACACATTTTGGGAAAAGTAATATCTGCAGACTTCTGTTGACTTGTTAGACTGCTGTAGCTTGCAATATGGCGCGATTGGTGCCACTTTTAGTGGTAGGCCTAATGCGAACTCGTCATGCTATGAAAATAACGACAAGGTTGAAAATGGGTTGTACTTTTAATGCGTTATATAGAGCAAAACCATTCAATGGACCTATCTAAAATACATATCAGACAAATTCCTTTTGGCTTCCAAACGTTACGTTCAAATCTGAAACACAAAACGTCAGTATGGAGGAAGATATTTACAAAACAAGTTGTAAAGTTTTTTTAGTCTCACCCTGTAAATCAAGATAATGATATTATTGGTGATGGGTTTTTTTTTAAACATAGCACTCACGTGATCCGTGACGTCAGGTCTTTCTCCGTCAAAGCATTTAGGAAGTAACTCCCTGTCTATATGTTCGTGGAGCGAAGCGTAATCGCTGCCGTGGAAGTGAATCTGGAATAATAAGCCAATAGTAATGTTTTTATTTTGTTATTATTGTCATCATCCATTTCCCTTATCTATTTGTTTGTTGGTGTTCTTTTTCGTTGTTTCTGATGTCTATTTTTTATAACACGTAATACGTAACAGAAAAATTTTCAATTATCAGTTTTATTCGTATCTTTAATAATATTTTGTTTAGGTTTTTTATAAATAAGCAATCGGCAGAAAAGAATAATGTACAAGTTGATGAGTATGCCTTAGATGTAATGTGGCATCTTCTTTACCCTTGGATCTAGTTTTGGGTCCAGTTTTGGCTAAAAGAAGGAAAATATTTCTAAAACCTGCCGTTGAACAGATATTTGATTGTGGTATAGTGATCGATTAAGGACATAATATTATTATGATGAAACAAAATTAACTCCCCCCCCCCTCCTCCCAATTGTTTTGACTTTCATTTTTAAAAATAAAAAAAATTGGTAGTCTTTACCTCGACAATGACAGAGAAGGTAGAGTAATCTTTGAATTTGTTAGGAAACATCGTGTTTAATGAATTGCTTCCCTTGACAGAGTGATTTTGATAAAATAACAATACTGTTAAGGAAACCTCGTGGTCAGTGTTTTGCTCTTTTTGACAAACTTATCTTGATAATTATTACAATTTAGGAAACTTTGATTTAAAATGGAAGAATCTGTAATATCCACTACCCATCCCTGTTGCAGTCTAAACAATACATTTATTGTATCCGTGAAAGTCATTCTTAGTGAATGGAGTTTTTAAATATTTTCTTGTTTTGTTTTGTTTGTTTGTTTATTTGTTTTTTCTTTTGGTTTTCTTTTTAGCTTATTCTTGTTGTGTGTGAGGGGGGGGGGGGGGACTTTTATAATTCCTTTCTTTCTTGTGTTTAGACCAAAGCAATCTATTTTGACAATATTATTTCACTATGTAATAGCATTACTAAAAGAAAAAGAAAGACAAAAGAAAACTCTTTAAAAATGGTACGTATGGACTTTTCAAAGTCAGACAACATGGTTACCACAGTTATTCACTTTGTCATATATGCAGCCCTTTTTACTGCAGTCTTTACATTACTTTGGGATCATACTTGATAAGTTCCCTACATTTTCCCCGTATGCTGTCCACAATCGACACATTTTAATGGACTGGTCTAAGTTTGACAAAGTGTATAACAGCAACTTTTAACCGTAAGCAATGACTGGTCATTGCACATCAACATCTCAGCCAGAGTTGACAACTACGGGTATCCATCACTAATTATAACTGAATATGATATTTGGAGATCAAAATAGTAAACTTGCTAAGAGGAGGCTTTTCCAAAACCAAGTTGTCGTCTTTCGCTTCTCTCTTAATAAAGGATTCAGAACCCCATAAAACATTTTCAATGTTTTGAAAGTGGAAAGAAAACTTTGTCTTGTAGTTTGGTTCAAACTGAATGGTGTTTGGTTCAAGAATAGTTTGGTTGGAGGAGTTACTTCTGCCTCGGAGGCGTCTGTGGTTGACATGCAATGACCAGTCTTTCGCTACGGTTGTCAACTGCTCTGGTGCACTGTTCAAACGTTCGTGTTGGATCTTGTTCAGAAGCCCAGGGTATACTCTTGATATTTGGCAGGTTTCTTCTCTGGATTTGCTGTCTGTTCGTCTGATCTTGCTCATTCGTCCATTACACAACATTTCAACAACAACAACTGTTATTATTATGATCTTTTCTTGTGAATCATTGTTTTGATCTGCACATAGACTTGAAAAAAAGATATAACAGTTAAACAGATGGTGTCTCGGCGGCAGTGGAATCTGGCAAGATGTTAACAAATTGCTCATTTAACTGAAGTTAGCTGTTGCTATGTCAGCTCTTATTGCAATACCTGTACTGTTTCTCCCACATTCAGTAAATGTTGTACCCCAGTACCTGTATTATACCTAATCTAAATTAATAGCTTTTACTATAGTGTGAAATTATACAAGATAGAAAAAAAGAATAAAAATCAACAACCAAAGCCACCGACTTTCCTATCAAACATCTATTGTCCTCACTTCTCCTCCTTTTTTGGGAGTGTTTGTCATTCTCTTGTGACACCTCAAATTGTTGGCACGTATACACCCTCAGTGTGTAGCAAGTGCTGTAAAACTCTTACTGAAACGAAAACATGAATAACTTACGTTGTTTTCATTTGACGACATCCTATGTAAACTCACCCTTTGCAACAGCTTTTGTTTGAGGAAAGGCTTGAAGAGGGCGAAGATACTGGCGAAGGAGGAGGGCTCGTTGACGATGTGGACTGCCCGGAGACGTGCTGGAAATACATCCTGCGGAAGCGGCGAAACGTCACAAATTTGGTGGAGACGAGGGAATGATTATAATTTGATGTTTTACCTTCTCTTTGTCCTTGTCGGTATCTCTGCCTGTCTCTGTCTGGTCTGTGCATGTGTGTGTGTGTGTGTGTGTGTGTGTGTGTGTGTGTGTGTGTGTGTGTGTTTGTGTGTGTGTGTGTTTATCTCCCTGTCTGTCTGTCTGTCTGTCTGTTATCTGTGTTCTGTCTCAAAAAACATTCTCCCAACATAGAAATCGAACTCATGTCTTCTACGTGCGACAGCAAATCGTCTTATTGTCCATCAACACACGCTGCAAAAAGTTTTCCTGGTTCTCAAGTTGTTGTATTGAACTCACAGAGAAAATAATATGACGAGAGTCTGTCAGGTGTAAAACCCTTGTACCCATGCCAAGGATTCCCTGCTACAATAGAAATGTGGTTGTGGGTGTATAATGTAATGTTTAATGCCCCCTCTCACCCCCCCCCCCTCTTTGTATCCCAACACTCACACAATCGACAAACCTGTAACGTATCTAGGAAGCGAGCTGCCATGATCCCAACTGTTACTCTGGGCTTACGCTAAATTCGCTGTCTCAGAATGTAAAAAAACAAAATTCTGTCTGACATTGTTGACCGTTTTGAGATACTATGACCATGAAGTCTGAAACCAACGAAAGTATCAGCTCAATCAAAGTTGTAATAGTATTTGAAGTCGTTGTGTAGATATTCAAAGAAATGCATTTCAAAAAGTGTGACATGTGAAAGTAAAATATTTAAACGTCAAATTTCTCAAAACTATGTAATGAGCAGATAGAACATTGTAGTTTTAGGGTAGCAAAGTAATATAGTGGGGGATTCATGTAACCGAGAAAGATCTGTGAATAAAATAAATATGTCCATTTTAGAAGAGTGTGGCATACGAGTTTCTTGAACTGAATCATCGATATGTAACATTATATGTATGACGCCTCCAACGAAACAGTCAGCCACATGAATGGGCAAAACTTTGTCGGTTTAAGATTAAAACATTTACAGTTTCACTAAAAAGCTACCATCTGTTACCTGCCACAACTTGGCAATCCTTTTGGCGAACGAAGGCGACGTGTGTGTGAAATGGGAGAGAGTAAATCCGTCGTAGTCCAAAAGGAGGGTAATGCCATGGACTTGAACCCATTCGTCCTGGAGACGAGAGAAAAATAAACATACAATATCCACGACGTTGGACAATTTTTTTTTTGCATTCTTCTTCCTATTTTGGTTCAACATCTTATATTATGTTAATTTAAGAACATATTTCTGCGTGAATTTGACTGAACAAATCATGTTGATCTAAGGCACACAAAAAAAATGATAATTTGCCTTTTTCAATGAAGCCTTGATTTCAACAAACTTTGAAGGCCTTTTTCTCCCTATTTTTGCCTCTGTCACCAGACAACCCCTCACCTGCTTCAATGGCAAACATCTCGACTTCTACTAAAAGAAGATGTTTATTTTCCATCAAAATTAAGGCAAATGAACAGGCTTTATGATTATTTCAATAACTCCATATTATTACGCTTAAAAGCTAACACGTGACTGATTCCAGCGTGTTGTGATTTTACTACTGTTGAAAATGGTGGATAAGTAGGCCTACTGACTACTCTTGTAATCTGGCATAATTTTCTTGATTCACTCCCCTTCACTTACTTGATGAAAATTCCACAAGCAGAATATTATTATGGAAAGCTGGTCTTGTAACAAGATGGATTTTTCATTTTGCCATGCAGTTCATTTGTGACTAACATTATGTGCACCCCTACCCCCCCCCCCCGCCTTGTTCACGAACACACACACACACACACACACATACACACACACACACACACACACACACACACACACACACACACACACACACACACACACAGAGGCACGCACTCACAGACACACACATATACCTCTAAAGATACATGAAGCGGTAAGGCTCACCTGGATGATCTTTGCGATAGTGATGCAGTCAGCTTTGATAAGATCCATTTCTGAGAACCTGCCAAATTCCCATTTTCCTAGAAACAAAAAAGAACCCCAGTTATAGCAGATTTCATCCTCCCTCCCTATCCTCTAGCAAGTGTGCAATTAAAAAGATGAATGAGACTCTTTGATGAAAAAAATATTATCATACATTTGTGCTATAGAGATTTTGGTGAACAATTGTTTGTTTTTTGTGGATAATTTTTAAATAAAAATCTTTCCAGCCAAAATAAACACACACACCATACAAACACACGAACAAACACACAAACAAATTATACGCAAGCACATCCAGGAACGCACTCTTAAAAGCAAAAGTTGAGTAAGAAAAATCACCCATTCTGTTACATCCGCATTTTCTTATCCAACCCCTTTCCTGTAAAGAAAAAAAGAAGACGAAGAAGAAGAACACACACAAATGCACGCATGCGCACACATACACATATACACACATCACAAGTACACACACACACAAACATACACACACATATATACACACATACACTCACACACGAACATCGCAAACATTCGACCACACATATTTATTATCATGTTCTCTGTCCGTCTGGCTGTATGTATGCTGTCTGTTTTCTCCATCTCTCTCTCTCTCCCTCTCTCTCTCTCTCTCTCGCTCTCTCTCTCTCTCTCTCTCTCTCTCTTTCTCTCTCTCTTTCTCTCTCTCTCTCTCTCTCTCTCTTTATCTCTCTCTCTCTCTCTCTCTCTCTCTCTCACACACACATACACAAACACACACACACACACACACACACACACACACACACACACACATACAAACAAAAAGAGAGACAGACACAAACTCGAACAAACAAACAAACGTACAAACACACTTACCCGGTCTCTCCAGGATAACTGTTGCACCCAGTTTGTCTTTGATCCCTAATGGTGTAGTATAGCCGCTCTCAAACACATGCCGAACACACTGGGGACGTAGGTCTGAACGCAGACATGGCACACAAATAATATATAATAATAAAAAGCATTTGAAGAGCACACGAAAAAACGGGCATAGCCACAAACTGGAAATTGTGAGAGTGCCAATTTTAAAAGCTTGCGGACTCAAAATATCATATTATTACTTGTTTTACTGGTGGTTTATTGTTATATTTTTTAAATAGGAAATCGAACAACAATAATCAACGAACAGGTGTACAGAAATACAGTTATATGTGTCAACAAGCGTTCAAAATTGATATCCTCACGATTTTCAGTTTGTGGCTATGCCCTTTGGTCCTTGTATAGCTCAAGTTCCCACTCAACAGCAAGCTCTATGCGCTTTCCAATCTACTACCTCAGCATGCTAGATAGCGTTGAGAAACAATCTCAACTTCCAGGGAAGCATACAGTGCAAGCTGTATTTTGTAGGTGCTGAAACACAAACATACTGACAAGGTCTTTCTATGCCTATGGCCGGGTATTCATTCCCTCTTGGGTAAGGTAAGGGAAATTCATGTAAAGTGCCTTTCAAAAGGACTCAACGTCGGGCTCGGGGCTCGAAGTCCCAAACACAAAATTTCACGGTTACGAGTCCGGTAGCCAAACCAATAGACCATCGACGCCAGCATAATAATAGAAAATAGAAAATAGTCTAGTCGAAGAAATCATACCAGAGGGTAAATATAATAAGATTACTATTGTTTATTACAAGAAATTTGGCTCAAATCTGAGTAAGAGATACAAAGCTTTGGCAGCCATTTTCTCAATCAAAATATCTCCAGCTCTGTTAGAGATAGATGGGTACCTTTTCAATCAGAAGTTAGACAAATGAACAACCTTTAAGATGACACACATAATTCCATATGCCCAAACAATGAGGAGCCCCTCATTCCAATCAGTCGAGACCCATGTCCATTAAAAAATATTTTTAGGCATTTGTTGCAAAATCAGAAACAATTCAGTCTCAGAATCAGTTATTAAGCTTTTGGTGTGTATACTGACGTTACCTAAAGACAATATTTTTAGAAGAAATTTCTTTTCTGTTCTGGTCCTCCATTACCTCAGTCTCCCTCTCCCCCCAGTACAAATACACAACCACACACACACACTCACACATACACACACACTCACTCACAAACCCACACACAAACGCACGGACATATACACACCACACACACACGCAACAAAACTCTCAATCCTAACCTTAACTCCAGCCAAAATTCTCATCTCATGTAAAATTATAAGAAAACGTTATATTCTAAAAAGATAACCAAAACAGACACTTCCCGAAGTAATTAAAAAGTTGTAACTGCTCAATGCCTAGTTTTGAGAAATTTGACCAGAAAAATATTGAGTTTCATAAAATGTCAAGCGTTCTCGAATACAATCCTTCGAATTTCTTAATAGTGACTCCAAAGAATCTTACGATTTTGATAGAGTAGAAGGCCAAAAATGTCAGATTTTTGTAGAACTTTTTAGTTCTAAGGTAGCGAGTTGTATACATGCCCCAAGAATGTCACTACCTACCCCTGAAGATCTCCGGCTCCTCCTTGCGGGCTGTGTAGTAGTTGATGACCAGCTCAAAGGTTTCTTCTTGGCTGAACTTTCTCGCTCGGAGAAAGCGCAAGAGAAAACTGGTATCAGTGCGGGCCGTGAGTCCTGGGGGTTGAGGGGAAGGAGGTATTAGAAATGTTACCAATGTTGTTTATTATCCGACGCAGTACCATTGCATTACTATGCAAAAACACGTTACGAATAGTATTGCTGATCGTATTACCATCACTACCATCACATTACTATGAGACATCGTCATTATCAAGAACCAGATCTCTGGTAGAGAGAGAGAGGGAGGGAGAGAGAGAGA